TGTCATCTGTCAGAAGCTGCTTGGGTTCTGTCTCTGGAGATCACCAAAGGAATGAATGACTGCAGCTTTCACCCAGTACTAGATAAATCCATGGCAAAACAGCTTCCAAAGGGAAGCTCTGCAGACATTTCCTTGGGGAGAGCATTTACCATGATAAGACCTGGTTATGATGGCATGCACAATAGTTGTGGTGTAGTAACCTGTGCAGCAATTGCTGTCAGCTGAGAATTGGGGTTTTCCATTCAGTTATCACTGTGCTGTATTTCAGAGCATGTAGAAAGCTGGCACCGTCAGAGGTCACTGTGTGAAGTGTGATTGCATGTCTTTGAAGAAGGATGAACAGTGCAATAGATTGAAGCTTTCCAAACTGCTTAAGYGTGGCTGTCTTGCTGACTTATCCATGTGTGGGTATTTGTCATCAGTCTGGAGGGTTAGAAAGTCTACAAGATTAGTAAGAATCTGTAAAGCCTTGAATGTCACAAGAACATTGGGAAAATCATACACTGTCTAAAAGAAAAAAGAAAAGTGAAAAATTAGCAGCATTAAAATTGCAAAGCAGACCTTGAACGTTGGGTAACCTGTAAACAAACAAGCAGAAAGCAGTCTTACTGTGAAGCAGAAGACTTAAGCTCTTTGTGACACTTGGTTAATTCTCTTTAGGGGTTTTCTCATGAARCAACAGCTGGTGCTGTTTTGAGAAGTGTTATTGGAGCTTTAACAATGTGGAGATCTTTCATACAGGACAGAATACAAAAGGCATTCTTGAGACAATTCCAAAATATACAGCAGAGATTGTCAGTTAAACAACACTGTGGTTAAGTTCTTGCCCAGTTATAAAAAATAAAAAGAAGGTGGGGGCGGACTTTCCTGCTGCATTTATTTGTATTTTAAGTAGTAGAAATACAGAAGTTGAAAACAGTTTTTTTTTAAAAAGTTATCAAGAAACACAGATTGTGAAGGSTGTGGAGGATGTTTGTGTTCATAGACCTCTATCCTGTATTTTGTGATGAAGATTTTCTCTTTTTTGGAATGAGTTCTAAGCATCACTTGAACTYTAAAAATGTCCATTTGAGAGGGAGATACAGAGTTTCAGAATCGGTTTTCTGGGTACAGCACAGCCCAAAATGCTTGTTGTGAGAAACTTCAGTTCTGTGGACTTCTGATCCTTGCATACCTGCATAATAAGATTTATTTATGTTGAATACTTGGGGGATTTTGCTTTTATACTTTTATTTCAATAGCATGTTAAATAAGTTCTGAAAGTTTATACCAGGGGTTTTTTTTGCATATAGAACATATATGATACTTGGAGTATTGTATGAATAAAATCATACACCATGAATAAAATCTGTCCTTCTCTATGATAATGAAATGTACACTTAAGTTGGGCATACTGTGTGAGGTCTTAAAAAAAACTATAGCATTAAAGTTCTTTAAGACTACTTCTGTTCTTTCTCAAAAAAAAAAAAAAAAAAAAAAAAAAGAAATCGCTGACCAGGAAGAAAATATGTTATGCCAATTCTTTGTGTATTTTCCTCCCTTTTAAAATAGTACGTTATCATGTTCCAATTAGTATGTTATAAATGATAATGGACATAACTGTCCCAGGGAGTACAGTAAMACAAGATCCTTACTAATGCTGGTCTGCAGCAAACCTGAAGTGTCCCCCAGAAGAGACACTGCTGCAGGGCTGCCTGTTTTGCAGGGCTGCCTGTTTTTAGGAAGCAGAGTTTGTTTAGATGTGACCTCTGTTGTCTGTCAACGTGACAACAATTTGGAAGTARCATCTCAACAGAAGATAGAGTTTTGATACTCTACATTTATTACTGATAAATTGGAAAGTATAAACTCCTCCAAGCTGTCAGTAAGACTTTCACTGGAAAGCAGAAATGCATTTCCTAGCATTTTGTTAAAGGCAACCTGTAGAAATCTCTTCCAAATAATTCTGTTCTGTAGTAATTTTTCAAAATGTAGAGTTACTCGGTCACAACAAAATGGACTTTTTCTGATTTGACTCTTAYTCTACTTGTCCCATAGCATTTTTGCTATTGGAGATAGGAAAATTACACCCTAAATTTTTTAGGCTAACATTTGAGCCCATACTTTGTGTTAATGCATTTGTGGAGTTGTGATGTGTTGTTAAACCCCAGTCCTTGCATGCTGGACGAGTAGAAACGTTTTGGAGAGCTGTCTCAGAAGAGTCCTAAGAACACAGTGCTGATGTACATGTCAGCTGAAAAGCTGGTGTGTGATAACTGCCCAGCATATACTCCCTGACCACAAAAACCTCTTGAAGCWTAAGAGCAGTTCTGTTTGAACAGGATTCTGGTGGTYTTTGCAYCTTTTGCTTTCTATATGAATTGCATCTCCTCTCTTTCCTTTTTTCTGACACTTACTTCAACTGWGGTGTATTATATTATTTTCCTGCTAGTCATTGGTCCCCTTAGAACAAGTGAGCATAGTAAAACAGTGTTAACAGAGCTGTGGGACCAGTAARTGAGCTAAGGGTAATTCCTGTGAGATATGTCAAAGATGATCATAAAATAMAAATATATATATATATGTACAGTGAAACTCATTGGAAACCTGGACATCATTCACCAAACTATTTCAATGAAAAAAATTATGTTGCAACTATTGGGAATGCTTCTGKAATAACAATTCTCATTTCTCCTCCTCCATGTATCAGTTTAATGTGTCTGTTTGCAAAGTCCTGTTCCTTTTCTGCTTGCTTAGTTGATCCATAGCTAATATTTTTGGGGTGATGGTGACAGGGTTGTCACGGTTTAAGACCRAATAACTGTGGAGGCTAAATTAACTTGGATAGCAAAGCCCTCTAATCACACATGTGATTTTGCAAMCTCCCTGTTTGGCAGAAAATGAGATGGACTCCCGTAGAATAGTCATGAGAGCTAGTGTTGTTGTTCAAATTCTGCTGTGTATAATTTTAGTGCCAGATTGTGAGGTTCCCTGGGTTCTTTCCTCTCTTCCTCTGCATGCTGTCAGATACAGGGGTAGGTTAAAAGGGAATTTTATTCTCATTTGGCATGTTCAGGTTTGCTCACAGCCAAATAATTGGTTGTTGTCATCCCTGGTGCACACAATCTGCTTGCCTCAAAGTTCTGGAAGTGTGTTTCCCAGAATTTCTGTAAATAAACTAGAAAAATGTGATCTCTAAATCTGGAAGAGAAAGATAATTTCCCTTGTTATGAATAGAATTAAATACTTTATTCTTGTGCCTGCTGGGGCCAGACAGGGGGAAATATAGAGGCATCAAAGCTTGAGTACTAGAAACTGGAGAAGATAAATTGRATTAATATGTGGAGAATTGTGTGCTATATGTTGGTGTTTAGCCTTTTTGGTTCTGCTGAAGTTTTTTGTGTGCATTCAGTATCCTTTGCTCCTTTTTCCTATGGGTTTATRTGCTTCCTTACCCTTTGTTTTCAGTGCTATCTGAGGCTGCAACAAAAGCTAGATTGAGGGAGAAGTGATTTTACTTCCTTTTGGCCCCAAAATGCACATGCTGATTGGTTAACTGAGGGTTGGAGTTTAGCCTGTATTGATACARACACATACTAGAAACAGCTAAATGAGAGGGAGGAAATTTACCTGAGTGGTAAGTGGGTCTTGTCCTCAATTATTTTTTGGTGACAGTTTTTACTCTTCGTGTAACACTGTTTCAGGATTGATAACCCCCCTCTCAGACAAGGAGGCTATTTAGGTACTGGGTGGATGGGGAACAGAATTTCTTATGTCTTCTTGCCAGGCAATTAAATCATGTGAGTTAGAGTTACATTTATTGGCATTTTAAAGATAATTCAGATAATTCCAATTTGCTAGTAGGAATGCGTACTATAAAATGTCATACCTAATGTCTTTGTATATATGCTTTTACTGTCTTAGAATAAGGCTGTTCTATACTTGGTTGTTCTAAGGTTTTAACCTTTTATATGATTTTTTTTTTCAATGGCAAGGAGGTTTTTATCAGGAAAAATTGCTAAAAGTGCTCCAAATCTCTCTATTGCACTTTGCACTTCCTTCCCCACCCCAAAGTGGGTTAGTTTAACATAAAACTGTTCTTCAAGGGCTTTTTTTTTCATAAAATACAGACAGATTAGGCTTGAATTCTGTTTAAATTCCAAGATTAGCCTATATGATTCTCTCTTTTTGCTGTTCTTTGSTTATTTCAYASAATTATAGAATGACTTAGGTTGGAAGGGAYCTTAAAGATCATGGAGATTCAACCCCCCTGTCATGGRCAGGGACACCTTCCACTAGACCAGGTTGCTCAGAGTTCMATCCAACCTGGCCTTGAGCACTCCCAGGGATGAGGCATCCACAACTTCTCTGGGCAACCTGTTCCAGTGCCTCASCACCATCACAGTAAAAATTGTCTTCCAAATAYATGATCTAAACCTATAGGCTCTTTCAGCTTGAAAGTATTCCCCCTTGTCATTCCCCTACATGCTCTTGGAAATAATGTCTTTCCTCTCATCATAAAGCATTCTGGGATTGTGTCAGGTTTGATCACTTCAATAGGGAATGTGAATTCCAGTAAGAAGCCARTAGGAGAGGCATTGCAGAGTTTCCTAAGTCCTGATGAATGAATTGTCCAGACTGTAAAGTAAAAGTGTAGTTTTGCTGTTACAATTTAGGACAGTAATCAGTGTTTTGGATTCAAATGTTCATGCACAAAATGGGTGTTATAAATACTTAACCTGAAGAGATGGGTGCCTTTTGTACTGTAATTTCCTTATTTTGGTTTATTGTGCTTAGTAAATTGCTAAAGTTTGAATAAGCTACARTTTTTAAGGATCTGTCATGTAATCTGTTGATTTTTCTCTGTTGCAAGGATATCTTTATCTTAATACATCTGAAAACCTAACRTTTAAATTGCATGACAAGTTTTGACTGTAATTTAAATCTCTGTCACATTCTGTCTATATCTGAAGAGTGACAGATTGAATGAAGTTGATTGTTGGTTTGGTTTATTTTTTTAGACGTTATTTGATAATCAGATGAATGCTTCAAAAAAGGAAGACTCAGAAAACATTAATAAAAATGACACTTCAAAGAAAATGTCTGTTGAGAGAGTTTATCAGAAAAAGACTCAGCTTGAGCACATCCTCCTCCGTCCAGATACCTACATTGGGTCAGTTGAACCCTTAACTCAGGTAAGTGTCACTAAATTTACAGTCTTAGTGTTTTTTTGTTGTTTTAATGAGGAAGTGTCTATTCTGGTTATTAAATAAATGCATCTCTGTTTTTCTCAGTATTCTGAATTATAATGTTAAAAGCTGTGGTCTTGTGAATGTATGCATGTGTAGGAAGGGGATGAGGTAAGACTTGCTTTAAGGCCTTGAGTGCYTGGTTCATCTGAAAATGATCAAAAAATACTGAAATCCAGTCAAAACACAAACACACACCTATGTGTGTAAACAGACAGCTGTGTGTTTAAACGTGCCTATGTGCACACACATATGTGTGCGTATTTGTGAGTAGCATTTGTTGTAGSTCCAAAAATGCCTTGGTCTGTTTGTTTAGGTAGAGAACAGAGAATTTMAGCCTCCTGCTGGCACTTTCTTCAGCTGTTTTTGTGAAGTTGCAAATTGCTTTGAACTTCACTGTCTGTCCTGTTGGGAGTTCCCCGCCAAGCAGAAACTAATGGATTTTCATTATGGAATTCTTCGTGGGTGCACTGTAATTTTTGCAGACTTCTGCTTCTGCTTTTGTCTTGTTTGGCAGCATTAATCAGACTGTAAAAGGAAAGTTCTTGAAGGAAATAGAGAATCATAGACTGGTTTACCAAGAGAGTAAATACTTTTATTTCRTTTTGTTTACATGTAGTTAATGTGGGTTTATGATGAAGATGTAGGAATGAATTGCAGAGAAGTTACGTTTGTTCCAGGCTTGTACAAGATCTTTGATGAAATTCTTGGTAAGTATTTTTAACAATAATACTGCCTTAATACTATGGAGTACAAGCTTTTCTGAGTGCTCTCAAASTACATCAATTTGTATCTAAGTTTAAATCACAGACTTGCCACTAAACTACAGGGCACAAAAAATTTAGTGCATTCTAGAACCATAGAACAGTTTCAAAGGGAAGAGTTTTCAGCTGAACTTGTAAGAAAATGTAAATATTTGTTACAGAATGTCCAAACTAGATAATTCTTTATGGTCAATATTGTTACAAGATTTTTAATCTGTGAAGTGTTATTAGGGCTACAATTTTAAGTGACATTTGAAAGGAGATTATTCCTCTGAAAGAATGCAACTTCTGAATTGTCTGARTGTTGACTTAGATCATCCTTTCATCAATCAATAAAACTTCCCCCTTCTGTACAGAGGGATATTGGTGGTAGTTTTCATGGATCATATCTAGACTTCAGACTGTTTTAAAATTAATGAGTATCATACTGCCRTTAAAAACACTGTGACTGAGGCACAAAAAATTATTTTTAGAAAATTTTGTCAAAATTCTTGGAGTTACTGTGAGTTACTGAGTTATGATATTCTGTTGGTGACAGGCACAGACTAATCAGCAGTAGAGATGTGGAATATCTGAATACTGTGCTGTTTGCTGACCTGATATTTTGGCCTAATTGACGTGAAATCTTGGGCTTACCAGTTTTTATGAAGTTCTATTGTAAGGATTGGTAGGATTACCTCATAAATTGAATTATGGTCTACTGAGGTCARTTTTGTTGTGACCTTCATTAGGTTYATGACTTCTCCATATCTCTAAAACTCTGCTTTACAGCACTGCCATCTTTGAGGCAGTAAGGACTATATCTTTACCAGATGGAAAAGAATGCTTGTTTAATTTTTAAATATTATTTTTAATTTATTGTTTAATTTGGTAAATATGGGAATGAAAACTTCTGTTTTGAGTGCTGCCTCATAGATCTATTTTTTTTTGGCTTTTCATGTTAGAGACACCACTTCCATATTGTCCTATTCAAAAGGAAGATCAGTATCCTGTCATTATCGTAGTACTTCATGGCTTATTGCTGCTTTATGTAGCACTGATAAGTGCTCCAGAGAGTGTGGTTTAAGAGCCAGGGGTCAGTGTAATAACAGTATGAAAATGGGACATTTTAGCTGTGCATGCTTTTGAATGAACTGCACTTCATGATTTTAGCCAAAGCACCTTGAAATAGCTGATCTTATACTGAGGTCCTTGTCAGCTGTTAAGATAATTGTGTTTTGGGGYTTTACCTTCATCTGCTTCATGGGTGATGAGACAGATGCTGAAAATTACCATAATATGTTTTCATATCACATTTCTGCTTTCTGTAGTTCATAGGCATGGAAGTGCAGTTTCATTAAATTCTGATCAAATGTTAATTTCAAGTTATCCTTATTTTGATCCTMAACTGTGTAGASTGCTAGTTATAAGTCTCATAGTCTRTTTAGAGATARCTTMTGCTGCACTCAAAATRCTCCTTAATGGATGTKACTTTTCTGTTGGGTTTCAGTGGCAAACAATGTGTAAACTGCTCTAGTGCTGCATATAATTTTCCAGGGTTTTTCACATACATGTTTAATAAATATCCAAACAAGAGCAACTAGAGAGGAATGAAGTACTCAGTATGTTAAKAACAGTTATGACCTCATAAAATACACTTCTATTTTTATTTTTGAGATAGTCTAGCTGCTAGAWATAGAGTCAGTAATTATAAGAAGGTTGAAAAATATCTTCTTGTAGATACTTGGTTTTATTTATAGACTCCAGTGCTAAGATACAGAATATATACAAAGAGCTGCCAGATTCAGAAATACCTGGACTATTGTAACATGTGGTGGATGTGTATAAAATCAGTTTTACAGACCAAGAAATTAATAATTGCCTATGAAGTGTTAATTTGTGCTACTTTGTTTCATAGTAAATGCTGCTGACAATAAGCAGAGGGACAAGAATATGACTTGTATTAAAATATCCATTGATCCGTAAGTAAAAGCATGTTTTCATTTGCTTTCTCTGCCAGTGCTATTGCAGTTTAGATTTGTACAAATGATTTTACTAATGAAATTGGACTTTTGAAAACAGAGTATTTTAGGAATTATTTCCATTAGCTTCATATTTTAAGATAAAGAGGTGAATTAAAAGTGGTAACAGTAAGTGCTACATTCTGAATTTATAATAATTGCTTTCCTAAACCATTTGTTAATGTTTGATTGAATGAAGCTTAAAACTGAAGATCATAAAATTGATGATAAATTGAAAGCTTGAGAGTGCATAACTATAACCAGCCAGGTTACTTACAAATCTTAAATACCAGCTTTGGGGTTTTTTAACACAATTTTGCATCTCTTTAATTTCTATGTTAACTCACTTAGCATTAGGGTAAGACCATGTTTGAATAAGTCRTCTATATCACACTGAAACTTCATATTACAAATACATCATTATCACTGTTTTTTGCAACTGAATAGTTGGAGAGATAATTTCTAGTGAGAAGTACTGTATTTATATAAATGCTGATTGGGTTCCTTTAGTAATACTTTTTCAGTGACATTTAACTGACTAATAAATTATTTAGACACATGGTTTTCAGACCTAACCTTTGGGATAAATATGCTGAGAAGTAATTTTTCTACTTTCATCATGGTGTGGGAGGGAAATGGTAAATRTGTAAATCTGCCTGACCTGTCATAATTCTGAACTCTCTAATACTCRAAAATGAAAATTCTGTGTAAGAGCTAGAAATATTAATGATGCCAGATATTGATGGATTTTGGCACTGATACATATAATAAGTTACAATGTTTATAWTAACTCAGAAATAACAGTTTTAAACAGATGATAACTTGTCTAGATGGRCTTCAATCAAACCCTAAAAGCTACRTCTCTAACTTGGCTATAATTCTGTCACTAAGCTGCAGGATCCTGTTGCAGATCATGTTGGTAGTGAAAGCTCTTCAAACAGATTTTTAGGGGTTATTTTTGTGGTGTGGAATACTGTCATGTATGGGCAATTAGGCTCCTTCTTCCAAGACATCTAATAAGCAAATCTGAGTGGGGTTTTTTTGTAACTGAAATTGTTAGAGCTCTAAGTGTGGTAAGAATATGGTCTTTTGTTGTATTTTTATGTAGTTATTTAAACAGGTATGCAGCAGTCTGATTTCAAGATTGCATTCATTTGCTTAATGTCTTCCCTGCTTTATAGGGAATCCAACATTATCAGCATATGGAATAATGGAAAGGGGATCCCAGTTGTGGAGCACAAAGTRGAAAAAGTATATGTACCTGCTTTAATCTTCGGGCAGCTACTAACATCCAGCAACTATGATGATGATGAGAAAAAAGTTACAGGCAAGACTATTTAATGTGCTTTGTTTTATTCAGTTAAGCATTGTGTGCTTCTTCAGTATGCTTCCCCTTCTTAATTTCTCTCTTTTTTGTTTTATAAAAGGTGATTATTTAGTCCTCATTGGTATAGCTCTTTATTAGAGTAAAATGACTTAAAGGAAATATCTTACTTTTCCTTTTTTAATACCACTGTTTACAGAGAATTTTACATCCCTAATGTCAGTACTCATTATTGAGTAACAAACAATGTACTTTAATATTTTAATTGTAATATATGCAAGTGTTTAAAAATTTCTGCTCTTGTGAAATGAAGGGAAAAATAAATTTGCTAAATTAGGATATGATTAATTCTCCTAGATTTAAACTGACCCTGGCTTACTGTATGTTGGTTTTTTTTTCAGGTGGACGCAATGGCTATGGTGCAAAACTTTGTAACATATTTAGTACAAAGTTCACAGTTGAAACTGCTTGCAAGGAATACAAACACAGCTTTAAGCAGGTATAGAAATGTTCAAAATGTCTTTCCTTTTCTTTGCTGTGGTTACAAATTTGAAATCTAGCATATATATTTCAGGAATATTTAATGAAATGGATCACCAGTGATTCAGATGGATGTGTAGAGTTTGCAGGCTAGGTTAGTTCAGTCAGTAAAAATTGGTATTTCTATGTGTTARGCTTTTTGGGTGAAGTGATACTTTCTTTGGAGTGTTAGGTGACTAAAAAAGCCCAGATTTCTGTTGAAAGTAAAGTATATTCATGCACACATGAAAAGGAATATATTCAATTGAAACATTTTGTAATTGCTGTTCTATAATTTGCCAAAAAAAATCTTCTGCTTAGCTATCCAAACATGGAAACAATTATCTGTGTAATTTTGTATAGTGTTAAGAAACAGATTTTTCAGTGTTTATGTCACAAATTTAATTAACCTCACATGGACTTCARTGCAAACCTCCCATTTGAACCTATTGCTCATTGTTAGCATACAGACCATGGGCTGAATGTAGTCAGGTCTACTGTGTATAGCTCTGAGATGAGCCACCTTTCTAAAAATTTAAAGTACTCTGGCAGAGTATTRAATACCAAAGTTCCTTGGCTTTACAGTCTTTCCCAGCTGGTGGCTTTCTTCTCTTTCTTTCAGGACAATTAATTAATTTTGGGTCATGCTGTCATATCACTACATAAATAATACACTTAATCTGTTACGCCTGTCTCTTAAAAAATAATATTTTCTGCCGACTGCCAAAGGGCAAATTAATATTGCTTTGAGTGTGCTGTTTGAAAATGACTGAATGCTTTATGGCTTAAAGTGCTATGTTTTCCAGTATTTTTAAAATTTGTGAGAATTTATTAGAGCTGAACTTTGATATATGCTGTGAGCAGACGTTCTGCTTCATCATGCAGATGTGCCCACGTTCTTAATTAGGGAACAATGCAAGGCTCCTGAGTCAAGTCTGAACACCTTGGGGTTTTTTTGGAACGCTGCACAGCCTCCAGGATGCTGTCTTGGAGACYACTGAGTCTCTGTACAGGGCCTAATAAGCCTCTCTGTAGAGGCATGTAGTAGATTGAAAATATTAAAAGGATGGGTAACAAGGACTGTAAWCCCAGCTCACTCATTTCCAATTTAGCAAGTTCTGTGGGAGGCTTTATTTGYATTGGAATCATGTCCATCAATGTGRTAATACCTTYATGTTTACAGAAACCACAAAAGTGCTATCACCTATGCTTGTGCTTATCTTTGTAAATCAATTAACTTTGTGTAGTGTTTTACCAGAGAAAGCTTCTCAAAAGGAGTTTGGGAGCTTTTTGTTGTGTATCTGTTGCAATCTTGGCTTTGCTGGAAACGGGAATAAAGGAGGAGGATATTATGTTGTAACCTAACATCTAAAATGTTTTGTTTCCCAAGACTTGGATGAACAACATGATGAAGACCTCTGAGCCCAAGATTAAGCATTTCGAAGGTGATGACTACACATGCATTACATTCCAGCCAGATCTGTCTAAATTTAAAATGGAAAAGCTTGATAAGGATATTGTGGCCCTCATGACAAGACGAGCGTATGATTTGGCTGGCTCATGCAAAGGAGTCAAAGTCATGTTGAATGGGAAGAAACTACCTGTAAGAGCATCATGTGATTTATCTTGAGAGTGCTGAGCATTTGATGCAGAGAGTAGTGAGTGTCATCTGCTCTTTGCAGGTAAATGGATTTCGCAGCTACGTAGATCTTTAYGTTAAGGACAAGCTGGATGAAACCGGAGTCGCGCTCAAAGTCATCCACGAAGTCGTGAATGAACGRTGGGACGTGTGCCTCACTCTGAGTGAGAAAGGGTTCCAGCAGATCAGCTTTGTAAATAGTATAGCTACCACAAAGGTGAGTGCTTAAGTCAAATGGTGAAAAATGTAAGTGATAAAAAGCGTGCTGAGGCTATGCCCAGTCATGTGTTCGATAAAAAAATTGAATCTGGGTTGCTGCGAGTAAATAGGTGAGCTAATCCTTTGCATGAGAGGAACTGGCAGAGCAATTGGATGCAATCAAAATACGTTCATAGCAGTATTTCTACATAAGCACTGGTTTTGAAAACACTAGTAAAGGTTATCAGTGATACTACTGCCTTATGTGAGCATATCTGGTGTTGAAGAAAATTATTGGAACTAATTTATTTCCTCCTTTTTAACATATTGTAATAAGATTATTCTGAAAGTAAGTTAAAAAAATGTACAGAACCCTTTAAAGCTACCAGCAGCAAGTTTTGGAGGGCAGAAAAGGCTTTTGGTGTTCTTGTCMCAGTTTTCAGATTTACTTTAGTAAAATAAATATAATAGAAAATAAATGCAAAAGAAMGGAGGAGCTAAGATGTGCAGCTAATTAAATGAAAACTTGAAATTTATAGYTAGCTTCTAAATTTTTCAGTTGTATAAACCATTCATCTGTCCATAGAATTTGAATATAGCTTTCCTCTGAATCAATGGAGACTGTTGACAGTTATAAGAATAGACATATATAGGAGGCAGTCAAAGCTTTATTTTGAAGGTTTTTGTTAGCATTATATTAGATACCTTTGCATCCTGAATTTTGCAAGACTGGGATTCCATCATTACCTTCTGGAAAAAGAAGGGTACTCAGTTTTAGTGCTCTTTTCCCATAATTTAAAAGTCGTAATAATCTTTGGCAGCCCTCTGGATTCAGAAGGTATTTTTGCTTTTGTGTCTTGCWTGGAATTGTTCTGACCTCTGGGGCAGTTCCAGGCTGTTCTGGTCCCATAGAGGATGCATTTGCCACCTGCTGGTGAGATGGCAGAGAGGGTCCCAGCACTGAGCTCTGAGCATCCCTCACTCACAGCTGCAMATTTAAGAATGGACACTGAAATGGGGAACTGTTACAATAACTAATATTTCCTAAGAACAAGAGTTACTGCTGTTTTTCTTGATATATCATATGCTACTTTCAGCGAAATTTAAAAAAAAAATTGCTAAAGTTTGAAATGCAAAAATATACTGAGATGTTCCCATAAGGATAAGTTTTCAGTAATGCATTGAGTAAAAGTAATGCATTTCAAGATTGTCATTCAAGTGTGGAATGATTTTGAAACATTTAATTTGGTATTTTCCTGTAATGGCTTTTCTTTACAGTTTGGAAATGGATTTATTTTCCTTTAAAGYGGTAGTATATTGGTATATTATGGTCCAATATATATATTGGTCTTTCAGTTCAACTCTCCCTTATGCTGAAACTCTGTCACCCATATGTGGATAAAAACAGTTGTGTTTTAATTTTGGCAGCTTTTGGGTTTGGATGTGGGGTTTTTGTTTGGTTGGGTTTTTTTAGAAGAAGTGCCTTGAAAAAAGACTTGGTAGGGTGCTTCTAAATGTTTGTGTTGCTGTTTTAGTAGSTGACTCTAGGAACTGACAAAAACCATAGATGGTTTCTTTGAAGTGCAAGTCCTGGTTTGGTTATGACTAATAGTATTTACCAGCTTAACCATTTTGGTTTTATCTCCTATCTTTTTGTTTTTTTGTTTTTCTTTAATCTCTACTTTCTGCATGAAATTGAGAACACAGCCGGTATTCCTCCAATTCAACTTCTTTGCTTCTTCAGTCTTTTCAGATGCACATTCTGCCTTAACATGTAGAATCCTAACTTGGGGTTTGATTGCTAGTTTCCTTCTTTTTGGCTGCTGTTTTTTCTTGGTTGTGTTTTCTGTTACTTATTTCTTATCTATCCTATACTTCCTCATACCCATCAAAAGCTTTTTATCTCCTCAGTTTTGTTTTAATAACAGCTTTAAAGAAGGAGGGATTTTCTGTTTATYGCTTCATGATGAGCATCTGCATAGACATGTTCTTTATTTTGTCTGTCCTAATGCAAATTGGTCTGAACAGGAACCAGTATTTAGTCTTTGTTTCTGTAAGGTACTAACTGATCTAAAGCAAAGGTGATCTGTGTGAAATATGGAGTGTTAAGTTAGGTATGTTTTCATTTTTATGGGATATGCTTGCATCACTCCACTTTTGGTTACGAGATTTTAGTCAAAGTATTATGAACTTCCTATGACAGCCACTAGAATTTAATGCTTTATTAACATTTTGGCTTTTTTGTCTACAAATTTAGAGGAAGGCATATGAGTAATAAGCCATTTAACTTCTGTCATCCTAACTTGAATGAAGACTGAATGACATGGAAGAGAAACTTTAAAACAGATTTTTCTATCTTACACTGCAACTCAGTGTTCATGGTTTTCTATATTTAAGTATGACCACAGGAACTTTGTTAATACTTATAAAAGCTATTAGGAAATTCACTGGTTATTTTGTTTATGATTTGTTTTTTTTCCCTTCCCTCATTCAGGGTGGTAGGCATGTTGATTATGTGGTGGATCAGGTTGTGGGCAAACTGATAGAAGTGGTGAAAAAGAAGAATAAAGCTGGAGTTTCAGTCAAACCATTTCAGGCAAGTAACTTTATACAAAAATATTGAATAAGATAAATGTGGGRATTTTGTTGATTAAATTGGTTTCTATGTTTTCAACAGGTGAAGAACCATATATGGGTTTTTGTTAATTGCTTGATTGAAAACCCATCATTTGATTCCCAGACAAAGGAAAACATGACTTTGCAGCCGAAAAGTTTTGGGTCCAAGTGCCAGCTATCTGAGAAATTTTTTAAAGCAGTAAGTAATGTTTTATTTTTGTTTTGTTTTTTTCCTCTTGTGATGCAGGAATTGATACACTGGACCAAGTTCTGTAGCAGATTGGTTATAGTTCATTATGGTACTCCAGTGACATTTGCATACTCTGGAAATGGAATAAAGGGACTTCTGTTCATTCTCGGGTCCTAATAATGGATGCAATGATTGTATTTTGACTGTTGCCCTGGATTTAAAAGTGACCTTCACCTGATCAACTTGTTTGTTGGACATTCTGGTATTTACATTGGTGAAGTGAATTTGACTCTTAAAACCTGAACATAGTCCTTGAGCAGTGTTTTTTGTGTTTAAATATTTTTCTGAAGTTGATAATATTGTCTGTCTTACTTGTTGGTATCAGTCCTGTTCTGTTTCACYGGAGTGAAAAGAGAGGGAGGGCGTATGTCACATTTACTTCTTCTTCTAGTAATCAAGGAAATGCAAAATAATGCCTGTAGTATTCAAAGTAATCATTATTGTCAGGTAGCAAGTTTAAAAAATTGTCTGTATATGGGCTAAGAACTGCTGTTCTAAATGATCGTATTAGTAGAAATACATCGGAGAGGTTTTTCCTCTACTACATTTTTATACAGTGAGGGAAAAGTAGAATTCTGTTAGCCAAAATTCATTATACTAAGTTTTATTTAGCGCCAGTAGCATAAGTGAAACTTCAATKGTGAGAATAGTGCCACTGCTAATAYTYTGGCATCAAAAMTTTCCTAATTGTACACTGTTTTATTCTTCTAATTCTATGTTACGATTCTAAGAGAATTTAGAGGAAAAGAACACAACAGTCTTRTATAACGAAATCTGAAGAATAAATACATGTTGTATTACCATCAGCAGGTTTGATTTATAGTGTTCCTAATATTCCCAGAAGTAAACATTGATTTCCAGATGCATTAAATGTGCAGCACAATCTCAACAATGAATGCTGTATTATGGGGTATAATCAAAAGCCAAAGCTCACAGTATTTTGCTCCATCTGTGTTTTCTTTTGATGTGAAACAAAACCTGAAGCAGTTTTAGTTTAGAAAATATACTGTATGCTATTTTAGCTGCAGATGTGTTTCTAAAATTGGTATCAGATTCTCAAGTGGTTGTAGAAAGCTCATTTTCAAATAGTTTTGATTGTCTTTCAGCTATTTTCAGTTATTTCCAAAGTAACTTTAAATGGTCATAAATATCTCAAAATACAGGAAACAGGTGCTTAGTACCCAAAATGTCTCAGCACATCAACTACACAACATAAGCCAACCTCTTGTTAGGTCTCAGACCTCCTTTGCTYTTCCACCAGTTATATAAGGGGTGGAAAAAGAAGTGTTTTGGTTGTATGTGCATAAAATGCTAAATAGCAGTTTAGTCTGTCCTAATTGCTTGACCTTGCATATGTTGCAGCTTTTAAAATTTAGAGGACTTTAGAACCTGTGTTAGTGACATAAAACTGAGTTGTAAGAATYTGCTATGTGAAGCTTAATTTTTCTCATCCACAATTTTGATTTGTTGCTTGTAGGCCTCAAACTGTGGTATCATAGAGAGTATTTTGAATTGGGTCAAATTTAAGGCACAAACTCAACTGAACAAAAAATGTTCATCAGTGAAACACAGTAAAATCAAGGGCATTCCAAAACTGGATGATGCTAATGATGCTGGTAAGACCACTTATTTTTAATTTCTTTAATATTTCATAAATTTTTCACAGTCATGATAATTTGAAACCTGACCTTTATTTCTCATCCTTGTGTGTTTTTTAATAAAAATCTTTCTAATTTTCTAAACTTTCTGGAGCTAGAATTCAAGGCATGAATGAATGGTGACTTTGGTATCAGGAGTGCTGTCCTCTTTAAGGCAGAGAATTAATAACACTGAACAAAAGTGACAGTCTGTGTTGTTATTGGAAGAGTGTGTAGCTTCTAACTGTGGTTTCCCACTAATTACTGTTACCAATATTCCATTTTGGAGGTGTCTAGTATTCTTTACCTTTCTAATAGGGAAAGATCAGAATCTTTATAGGGTCAGAAACTGTAGGAAGTAAATCACAGTCATGTGCAGACCTGGTGGAATGATTCAAGAGACTTTTTTCATTAGACTTTAAATGCCATTAGGTTTCTGTCTGGGGATACAGGGCAAACTGGCAATTTGCTGGCTGGCTTCCTTAGCACAGATAGGGATCAGGTTCAGCTGGCAGTCTTTGTGCCTATAGCAATAGGATGGGAATTGTTCTTGAATGATTTGAGGGGCACACGTGGCTAAGGAGCTCAAAATGTTGACCGTCTATATTAAGGTTAGTTGGTTTTTAGTACATCCTCACATTAAGCAGAGGTAGAGAAATTACAAGAGGTAGGTGGGTGGGCTGAGTARGTAAAAGCATGTAAGACTCATAAGGAGGCTTGGGTTTRTTTTTTTGYTTGTCTGGGKTTTTTTTTGTGCTTCAGTGTTCAARCCAAAGATGAYTTGATGAGATGATGGKTCTGTTTAATTTTCCTCCCTTTCTTTTTGATTCCATGGTTATTAATTTTWAAATTGAGCTTTCTTYGGTATTTAATTACTTTTCCAGTTATTCAGATGTCATATTTTGCCTCAAAAGTTGATAATCACATCTACTCTAGTATTTTGCCTGTGGAATTTCCACTCCTTACACAGATATATGTTCCTGATATTTTTCTTGCCAAGAAGACTGTGTGCTTGGAGAAATTACATGTTTTCATGGATATCAAACCTAGTGCTCCTAACTCATATAATGAATGATTTTGGGCACACTTTCTTCATAGGTTTTTTAGCTCTGCTTTGGAAACCGGGCTTTAAAATCACTTCTTGCTCATTTTTTTGACTGGGCATGAGGGGAAGGAAGAGCCTCTAACAGGAGAGCTAATAAAATATTCTATTGCTCTTTATCCTGAAACATCCTCAGCTAAGAAGGCATGTAGGGATTCATTTGGGCTGAACACTGGTGCCTAAAGCTTTGCAGGGCTTGAATGCCTGTTATCCAGGTATTTCTTTGATACCTAATTGCTGTTTCATGGTGAGGGAACTCTGCATCTCCTGAGGAGGTTTAGCCAGGTGTTGGTTTATTGAAGATCTGGAAGATACTGTGTTTCTGATGTTGAAGACATCACACATTTGGGATGAACACGCAGGAGGTGCAGCAGGGAAAGAAAAGTCTCTGGCCACAGATCCATCTGACTTTAATTATTCCTATGGTTTTTAGATTTTATCTTTACCTCAGGAGTGAATTTGTAATTGAGGTCCAGCATTCACAGGCTTCTTGTGTGCCTGGTACTACTGAATGTTTTAATCATTGCCAGGTAATGCTTGAAAATAGGAGGGAGATGTATCTGTAGAGTGATGCACTTGCTGCAGATTTCCTCCCCTTCTTCTGTAAAGATAGGGTCCTATAYCTGGTCATTCTTGCTTTCTTGTAATCTTGAAGTGCCATACATCTTTCTGTGGCTTGTTGGAGGAGAAGTAGAAATGAAAGCAAAAATAAAGAATATAGGATTGTAAGGGAGCAACTAGATTACGAAATCAGGTGAAGCATAAAAGCATTTTTTGAACCTGTCAGTTCATGTAGTTTTGTCTTTGAGTTCTTTATAGCTCTGCTCAGGAAAATACCTGGAATGTTGTATTTCTGTGGAATTAATTCCTACTGATTGCATCCATTCCAGAAGAAAGTGCACCTGGATGACATTCAGATGTGTTTTCTGCAGTTCATTTATGAAAAATATTGGCTCTTACCTATTCTAAAACAGCATACTGGTATTTTTCTAGGTATTTGGAGTCCACCTTGCTGGTAGATAGTCCATGACAGTGTGAATTACTACCTGACTTAGATTATATTAAGCCACTCTTAATGGCTTTTTCTTGATTCAGAAAACCAAAGATGCTGAATGCAAATTCTGTGTAATAGGAAGGATGGGGCATTTTTACCTCTGAGCTGAAGGTACATTACAGCATCCATTTTAAATGCCAGTATATTCAAAACTATGTTATTAACAGGARGTGAGACTCAACCAGATTGAAGGTTTTTTGAGATCTTTCCTACCTTAGACCTTCATAAAATAGCAAAACTTCTTAATGAGCATTTGCACCATTGCCAAAGGGTGGGTTCCTTTTTTTCAGCCTGCTTGTTATTTATTCCATTGCTGCTGTTGCAATAGGTAGAAAATAAATGTCATTCCAGTTTTGAGCACACTGGGCACACAGGCACCAAAATGCTGTGTGTCTTGTACAGTCAATATTACACTGTTAGTAGAGATTTATTTTTCTGTTTAAGAAATTTGTGAGGTATRATAAGTGCAAATGTTCTCATCATTTGAGCTTTTCTGACAAGCTTTTCGTGGAGTTGTCTGGCTTTAGCAGATAGACAATAATAAGGGAAACCCGCAAAAATGTGATTTAATAAATTACTTTTTAAAATATCCTGTGAGGAAAAGGGAAATRCAGAATGAGAAGTAACTCCTGTATGTAATGCAGACATGCATAATGTATGTGTGTAAGAAATTTGCAGCTAGCAAAATGAAATGGTAAAGGGAGAGAAGCAATCTGTCTTTTTTTGTGCAGACATGTGGGAGCCATTGTGTAAGATGTGCCACCATTGCATCCCATTTTGTCTGTTTTGYTCCTTGTCCATAGCCATCCGTAGTGCACTGCTAAGGGCAAGGATACTCATTGTTGTGCAGTTTTAGGGGCATGGGAGGCCATCCCTAAGAAGAATAATTCAGCTTATTTTAACGATCTAATGTAGATAGATAGGAAGAATTCAATTGTATTTCTTTTATTTGAATTACACTTTCTGGGTTTTTTTGCCTTCCTTCTACTTCTTCCTGGCCTGCAGGTGGCAAACATTCCTTGGACTGCACGTTGATATTGACAGAAGGAGACTCAGCCAAATCTTTAGCTGTCTCTGGCCTAGGTGTTATTGGGAGAGACAGATACGGAGTCTTCCCACTCAGGGGCAAAATTCTCAATGTTCGAGAAGCTTCTCACAAACAGGTGTGTGGTTTTGTCCTTTCATTTTTGCTGGCAGATGGGTGTCCTCCTCTTTATTTTTGATTTCTAGATTTACATCTTTGTATTTTAATTTTTAATTATTTCATGAAAGTTTTGTGACTGGGATTTCATAAAGTACCAGCTACTTTAAAGCCTGAGATAATCCTGTAAATATTAKCTGTAGCAGTGCAGACTGGGATGGTAAAGCTCATTTCTTTTTCAAGTGAAAGGAAATTTTGCTATGACTCAGATTCACGTTTCACACAAGTATTTAAAAACCCTAAAACTTTGCATTCTCTCCATTGCCATGGGATTTCATGGACTCACAGCATGAGTCACCAGGCAGCAGCGTTACCCCATCATATTTCTCCTGCTGCCATCCATAATTYGTTTGTAATAAGAGGTTTACAGCAGATGCCCATACAAATAATGGAAGGAGAAGCTTTGTGAGATGACTTCTTGTTACACATGCAGTTTTCTCCCAGCTTTCCCAACCCAAAGCACTCTGGCTGTAGAGGAGAAAGASTGGCACAGTCTCGAGAATTTGCATGTGCAGAAGAAATAGTTACAAGTGTGAGGGCTTCAAGGGGTGGGAGTAAAAAGCTTATGAAGTTGAGGCCAGGGTGCATTGAAAAGGTATCTATAARGCRTGATTTTTGTAAAAAGCGGTGCTTTTTACACTGACTGCAAAAGTAACTTTTTTGGTAYAGATTATGGAAAATGCAGAAATCAACAACATCATCAAAATAGTTGGATTACAATACAAGAAAAGCTATGAAGATCCAGAATCTTTGAAAAGTTTGAGATATGGAAAAATTATGATCATGACAGATCAGGTAAGTCTGAAATTCAGGTTTTAATCTACAGAGCTTTTTACAGTGTGTTTTGCTGCAATTTCATTTAAGGGATTAATTTATCTTTGTGTTGCTTTAGTTGTTCTAAAACTGAACTTTGCTGTACAAAATAGCAAGTAGCCGAAATAATAATAAAAACACGCTATTGAAAATTCAAAAATATATTGAAAGTAAGGACAAAAGGGGACAGTAGATGAGGTGGTATTGCTAGCAAGTCAGATAGAGATAAAAATGTAGGCAATTATTTTTGGATAATCTAATGATTTAACTATCGAACATCTTGCCACCAATGAGAAYTGTGGGCCAGGTTTGGCTTTTTTCCACAAAAATTCGACTCTGTGGTGTCTGGAAGAGCTGCCTACCTCTCAGCAAAAGTATGCCACAGGCAGAGAGACTTTAAACTGCAACTCTGTGTTTGGCTTATTAAAATGTGGAAGAGCTTATTRAAAGCTCAGGGACAGTGACATTCACAGGTGGTTATTTCTTACCCAGGTCCAGTTTGGAATCCAAATTAAAACTAGCTGTTCTTTTCTATGCTTTCTGTCATCACACATTGTTTTGATGTATTCAGGCCAGTGAGTGTTTTTTTCTGGTGGTTTTGGGAATCTGATATTTTGTAAGATTTGCYCATGTTTTCATGTTCTGTCTGATTCAGGATCAGGATGGATCTCACATAAAGGGCTTGTTGATCAATTTTATTCATCACAATTGGCCATCACTSTTGAAACATGGTTTTCTTGAGGAATTCATCACCCCTATTGTGAAGGTATGGATTCTGTTATTTTATGTTGTTCTGAGATTTTATGGATTAATTACAGCACAAATAGAAATGTTGACTCTCTTTGTTTGTTTTTTCAAAGGCAAGCAAAAATAAGCAAGAACTTTCCTTCTATAGTATTCCTGAATTTGATGAGTGGAAAAAGCATATGGAAAATCATAAAGCATGGAAGATAAAGTACTACAAAGGTTTGTTTAAAAACAAGTGTGCGAACCCTATGAATAAATAATGATAAATCAATGCTATGAAGTTTTATTTATAGCTGTTTTCATTGTAGTGTCTTACATAGTGATTTTATAATATTTCCAGTAAAATAAAAGGGGTAAAATAATAAAACCTAAATTTTGAATATTGAGTAACTATTTTATTTTATTGTRCAGGATTGGGTACCAGCACTGCTAAAGAAGCAAAAGAATATTTTGCTGACATGGAAAGACATCGGATCTTGTTTCGATACGCTGGGCCTGAGGATGATGCTGCCATCACACTGGTAAGTGCTTACAAAACTGCTTCCATATTTTATGTTTTAGTTTTCATTGTGTGCTGAAAATGGCACATAAGGAAGTCCTAACAGGGTTTGTTTTGTTTTTGCTTGTTTTTGGAGTACCTGAAAAAAGTACTTTGGGAGGAGAAAKAATAATTTGGAAAATGTTTTAAATTTTGAAATTAGCTTAATCCACACCACAAAATGAGCTCCACCTTCTACTTTTAGCTTTGGTAATTTGTGTGATGTTAATATCAAGAAATGTTACAGTCAGAATTGCGTTTAAAGATAGAATATGCAAAAATGTACTGGGAGTAAAAGTAAAATAGAGCCCAAACAAATTAAGTTTCACATCTATTTAGGGGTCTGTTCTTTATTTCTGAGTGAGTAAGATCAGATAAATATTGCTTATTCGTTGAAGATATATCAGTGTGTCATATATGTATTCATGCATGTGCTCTACATATTTGAGTTTGAAGACTTGCAGATAGTTTTGTGCAGAAAAACACCTGTGTTTCAAAATAAGCTTGTGGAAGGACAAAGTATAAAGTATCTAATTTCTAAAGAAATTTCTAAAGAAATTTCTAAAGAAATTTCAACTTTTATCTACTTTAATTTGTATTTTAATGGTAGATGGCATTAGAGAGAAAAAAAGGTAGGAGAACAAAGAAAAAGGAAAATTGAAAAATGCCCAACACCAATTATGGCTGATCCTCACTGTTATCTAAAATTGTGTTCTGTCAGTCTGAGAGAAAGCTGTTCACCTCTGTTACACCTCAGCAGCCACCAGCTCATGCTGATGATGGTGTTCTTATCGAGGAGAGTGGTTGAACTCAGGACATGATGGTATTTCTATATTTCTCCCTGAGAAAAGAAGGCAGTACTTTAGTATCTCACCGAATTTTCCCAAAATAGTCAAAATCTTGCTTAAGCCACATATTCAGTTTTTATGTATTTTTCTCTTTTTTTGGGCAAGAAACTTACTGAAGGGGGGCTGTTTCTGTAACACCACAAAGTCACAACATTCCTGTGTCCTTTTGTAGTGAAAAGTGGCTGCTGGAAAGTGGTGCCTTGTCATCATGAAAGCTGAGGCCGTCAGTCAGCTGGCCCAAACTTTGGCTGAGACTTTTCGTGCAGTGTCATTTTTGTCAGGTTGTCAGTTTTCCTAAGAGGACTAAGGATGGCCAGTCAGGAGCAGCTACAAGTTCCTGWCAGAGCAAGGAGGGCAGGGAGAGGACAAGAAGAGTGGGATATTTTTTTCTTATGCCTTCAGGGGATTTTCATGATGAGATCTGGTTCTAGCTCAGTCTTAATGATGTACCCAACCTTAAAGCTGTGTGGGGAAAGATCTTAAAACCTGTGTGTCAAAGGACAGCTCTGATGTGAAAAGGGGAAGAAGAATGACAAGATTTGTCTAAATGTGTGCAGATTTCAGATTTGTATTTCAGAAAACAATATAAATTTAAATTGCAATCAGTGAGAGATCTGTCATTTAAAAAAACCTTGTGCAAAAATGTCTGAAAAGTCATGTACTGGTACTGCTCCTTAAATTTAAATGTTAGTTATATGGATTAGCTTGTCCAAATAAGCCTTATTGAATACTTGATCAGATAGTGCAATATACTTAAAATTCTAACTAAAGTAACATATATCTGCACAAACATTTATATGCTGATGCTTTGGTGTGCTTGSAATTTTTCCAGGCCTTCAGTAAGAAGAAGATTGATGACCGAAAAGAATGGTTAACAAATTTCATGGAAGACAGACGACAGCGTCGACTACACGGCCTTCCTGAGGTGAGTCCTAAATAATAGTAATAAATCTGCCAGGTGAGATTTAAATGTAATGTAGTTTTTGTATTGAATGAATAATGTATGTGTTTTTTTTCAGCAATTTTTATATGGTACAGCAACAAAACATTTGACTTACAATGATTTCATTAACAAGGAGTTGATCCTTTTCTCAAATTCAGACAACGAGAGATCTATCCCTTCCCTTGTTGATGGTAAGCTGATAATTCTTTATGATTTTTTTTACTATTGCTGTTTATTGGTGTTTTTTAAAGCTATGCTTTGCATTGAAATCAATGCATTCAAGTAGAGAATGTAAGAACTTCTGTGTATTTGTCTGTTACCATTTCATATCACAATGTACTGGAGTGAATTAGGAAGAGCTCAGCCAGGAGGTGATGCTGCCCCTCGGTCAAGCCACATCTGGAGGGAGGGCTGTGTCCAGTTCTGGGCTCCTCAGTACAARAGAGATTTGGAGCTCCTGGAAAGGGTCCAGTGGAGGGTTATGAAGATGATTTTAAGGGACTGGTGCATCTCCCTTATGAGGAACAGCTCGGGGAGCTGGGTCTGTTCAGTTTCAAGAGATGGTTACGAGGGGACCTTATCAATGTGTATTAAGTACCTGAAGGGGAGGTGTCGAGAGGATGGAGCCTGGATCATCCCAGTGGTGCCAAACAGTACAAGAGGCAGTGCACAGTCACTGATGCACAGGATATTCCACCTGAACATGAGGAAGAACTTCTTCATTGTGCAGTGAGCACACACTGGAGCAGACTGCCCAGAGAGGGTGTGGATTCTCCCTCACTGGAGATATTTGAGAGAGACTATATCCTGTGCAAAGTRCTCTAGGATGATCCTGCCTGGGGAGGTTGGAGCAGATGAGCTGCTRTGGTCCCTTCCAAGTGCAATTCTGTGATTTATGTGCTAAGGAATTGCCATATTTCTTCTGTGAGGAAGCTTGAACTGCTGCTGTGCCTATTCCCTAGGCCCTGCAGGCGGCTTTGTTTCTGCTCAAACCATCAGAGAAAGCAAATCTTTTAAGTGCTTATAATAATTAAAATTCAAGCCAGCAGCTGAGTGCAGATGAAGATGCAAATGTTTTCTCCCTTCAGTCTTGCACCACAGGCAGTGCTCTAGTGTTTACTGACCTGTAATCTTGCTAGGCTCCTGTCAGTCAGGTTTACTAACCCTCCCCCTTGCGATAATGTGAACATTTAAAAGGAGCAGCTTACTATACTACAGCTTCATTTGTAAAACTCTCTGCAGGCAGCATGAGCAGGAATTCTGCCCATGTCATTGTCTGTATGCACAAGCTTATTGAGATGGGAAAAAAGGCCTTGGGACTTTGGGGAGAGGGCAAGTGCATTTATCTTCTCAGTACATTGCATAGTGGAGCTGGCCTGCCTTCTTGACACTAGAGACCTGTACCAAAATATTCATGCAGCAAGAGCCTTTTGTGTTTTGAATGAGAGACAGGGATAGTTCAGAGGGTAGGGGCAGTAGCTTCCTGGTAGTATGGATCCCCAGCTTTGATGCAGAATGAAACTGAGTTAGGTATGCAGATACATTCCTAGGGGGCCAAAGAATTTCAGTCTCTGTTTCAGCTTCTCCAAAATTAGTCCATCCCATGCCTGGGTACCAACAGAGCTGTATGTTTCCAGAGATCTTTGCTCCTTATAACATGCTGTACCCAGACTGCCTTCTCAGAAACAGCAGAATGATTTTGCTGAATCTTAAACTATGAACTTGCAGTACTCTGTTTCTACAGAAATGTAAGAAAATAAGAAGGGAACATAGCTATATGAATAGCTATTCATATATTTGTGTGTGTCTGTATATGTATGTAACATAATGTAGGTGTATATATAATATTACAAATATTATATATAATTCCTGAGTGTTTCTGCCAACTTTGGCTGTAATTCTGCATTCTGGGCATAGATAAGTGAATTTTTCAGCAGGTGTAGTGCTCTAGCAATGGATTTTGTCCTTTAGCATCATTAGGTGGTATAATATACCAGTCTGGTGGCAAATCTCAGAAAAAAAAACTTAAAAGGGGGAACATTTTGACTTACTCTTCACAGCTCCTAGTTACAATTCTTACTACTTGGTGATTCTCCTGTGTGAAGGAAATACTTTGTCTGTTATATTCAGTAGATTGCTGGTAGAAAACCATGATCTAGACACATTGTAGAAAAGTTTGGATATTATGCATTTAAATGAAAAGGAAGTTGAAGGCAGTCTTATTTTTTGTCTTCCTTCCAGCTTTTGCTCTTATCTGACCCAGTGTAGTAATGGTAATATTTAACAATATTTTAGTGTATTTCAGAAATGTATGTGAATTAAAACACCAAATAGCTCAATAAGCATGATCTAGAACTGGTTATCAAGTTCTAGATAATATCCAGGAAATACGATGCAATGCCTTCCACACAGGTGTTGTTCCTAAAATGTGCCTAAGCAATGAAAATTAACCAGAAGATCAGAGACTGGCTTCTTTCTTAAATCTTTAAAAGATCTAAAGGGGATAACCTTTCTTTTTTTTTTTTTTAATTTTATTGCCTATTTGAGAATTTCACACAAAAGTAATATTTCAGAATGCTGTGAAACACATGTAAGCTACAGTTACAGTTGTCATTGCTGAGTTTGTGCTGATATTCTTAGGAAAAGGTTTTTTGCTGAGTAGAATGGAAAGAATTCTTGACTTGTGGAAATTGTACATTTAGGATCATGTTGATGTTTACTAGAATGATTGGATGCTGTATAATTGGCTGAAAAGATTATGTTTCCACTTTCTTGGTAATTTTTTGAGTTTGGCAAAATATTTTCTATTGCTTTTTAAAAATTATGTATTATTTTGTTAATATTAGAGTGTGAATTTGCTTCTATTTAATGTTTAGACTTATTTTGAGAGATCAGAAATGATAATAAGGCAAAACAAGTTTATCACTTTAAAACATTTGCTTGTGTGCATGTTGAAAATGTGATGTTCTTCTTAACAGGTTTGAAACCAGGGCAACGCAAGGTTCTGTTCACTTGCTTTAAGAGAAATGACAAACGTGAAGTAAAGGTTGCTCAGCTGGCTGGTTCTGTGGCTGAAATGTCAGCTTATCACCATGGGGAGGTGAGTATGGAGGGTGGTGAAGTTGTGAGAATTTTAAGCCTATATAAAATATTAGAGAAATTTTTGTGGTATTAAAATTGCAAACATTCACTATAAGGCTACTCATCACAGATGTACCTTTAAAGAAAATGAACCGAAGAGTATGTAGCTTAATAAGAGTGTATTTCCTGTCTTTCCAAGTGTTTGTTACTTCAACAAGTAACTTTGCAGTGTTACTCCAAATATGTTGTGGATTGTGGCAAAATAGTAGATAAGTACCTAGGCAGCTTCTAGATTCTCAGATCATGGGAATATAGGAATTACGTACTAGGACAATTTTTGTCTGAAACAAGAAATACTGTATTTTAAGGAAAGAAGCAGAGACACTGTTGTTCAAAAACTTTATACAGTGTCAGAACAAAGGATATTTCTAGCTCCTGTTTTGTTTATATTTAGCTGAAATATTAGCAAATATTAACAGTGCCTCCATCCCTTCTCTTCTCCCTTTAGAAGCAATGGGTAGTGGTTTGTGTATGTAAGTGTGATCAGTTTGTGTCCCTTTTCTTCCCCCACAGAAGTGCTTTAGAAAAAATTGAGAAGCTCAGGGATTTTCATAAGCATAGAATATCTTTTCCCAGCCACCCTTGTAATAGGTGCAACAGTCTTTTCTCAGGGAGACTGCTTTAAAAAAAAATTAATTCAGGTTAGTCACACAATTTTGGGGCATTAAAAATAGATTTTACTGCCTGATTGGGTTAGACTGTCTCATACCTATTACTATGAATATGTATTTTCTTGCAGCAAGCATTAATGATGACTATCGTCAACTTGGCTCAGAACTTTGTGGGAAGTAACAATGTGAATCTGCTACAACCTATTGGCCAGTTTGGCACCAGGCTTCATGGTGGAAAGGATGCTGCCAGCCCTCGCTATATTTTCACCATGTTAAGGTGAACACAACTGTAAAGCTTAATGCATATTTTTAAATAGCCTTGTTATCAAACTCATCCTTAGACAACACTTCAATTTTTTTCTTTTCTTTTTCTTATCTTTTTTTTGTGTTGGGTGGAGAGAAATGGAGATGTATTGAAATCTTGTGATAGAGGTTCATATTTTGCTTTGGATCTCCAAGTGTGGGTGTGAACATCCCTAGCATTTGCAGAGACTGCTACTCATACAGTTAAGCAAGGAAATTCTGGATAATATAATAATTCAAGGAAATGTTTGGGCCCTGTGTTGCTTTATTACTGGGTGCCCCAGTGTCACATCGAGCTGTGTGTTTTGAAAGCTTCAAAGAGTATTTTTTGGATGTTAAATGTCACCAGTTGCTGTACCAGGTGTACCAGGTATATGAGTTGTGAAGGAAGCAAAAATCATCTATTATGAACACACTCTTCTACTGGGAAGACCTTCATTATCTGAGGAGACGTGTATGTTGGATTTTCAGCTTCAGAATGGCAAAGAGAAAGGAAGACATGAGAAAAATCTACAAATTGATCATATCTGGGCCCAAGGACTATTAAAGCAAAATGTTCTTTACTTGCTGGAGTTGAGATTAAATGGTTTTCTTTTTTTTTCTTTTCAAAGCCCTTTAGCAAGGCTACTTTTTCCATCGGTGGATGACAACTTGCTAAAATTTCTGTATGATGACAACCAACGTGTGGAGCCTGAGTGGTATATTCCCATCATTCCCATGGTCTTAGTAAATGGAGCTGAAGGAATTGGTACTGGATGGGCATGCAAACTTCCCAACTATGATACCAGAGAGATTGTAAACAATGTCAGACGAATGCTGGATGGCCTAGATCCCCACCCAATGGTAAAAATAATAGTATATGTTGATATTTTCTATGTTTGTACTTATGAAATTAATTCCCATCTCTTTAGAACTTCTTGATTATTGGAACATCTGAGTTGGTTTGTCCCATTAATTTTATGTAGAAGCTTTACTTGGCTGTTGGGATGAGGCTGGGGAAGTTTACCTGGAAGCAAAAACATTGCTATTTGTATTTTTTGCAGTTATTTTAAAGGACTCTTTGTTCAGTCTGCTGACTGTTACAAGTCTTACAGGGTAGTTGTGACAAGGCAGTATAGTAAGAAGTTGTATCACTCTCTTTTTGAAGATGCTTATGTGTCTTCAGCTAAACTTAGCATTTCTTCTCTCTTGTCTGAATTGTTTCATTTTATACATCTGTAAGCAGAGGGGAAGATAATGTTGCTGTTCAAGAAAATCAGCAGCCTCTAAACTGTATTTAGGTTCTGTTTATTCAAAATTTTAGAAATCATCCCAGAAGTGGAGTGAAACAGATTGGGCAGGAAGAATCCCTGTGTGAACCCATAATATCTGTGACCAAGAGATGAAATTCAGTTGATGTAACCTTAATTTTACAACTGATAAATATTGCTCTTTGGCTGTGTTTACCAAGTCATAAAAGCAGAAACATTTTTTCTTCTCTATTTGGATCACAGTTCACTGAGTGTGCACTGTCAGTTTTCATGACATAGTGACTTTCCTTTGGCAAATTCTTGGGAACAATCAGTTGTGTTTTTTTTTTTATAAGTTAATGCAATCAATTGCCATTCCTTTAGGACTCCTAGGCCTTCTGTGTAGTCTCACAGTCAATTGAAGCTCCCTGGTTGAAAGAGGCAATTCTGCCTCCGTCTACCTCATTTACGTGTGTTGGTATGTGCTTGTGTCCTCATGGTAATCTGGATAAGGAAATCGATCCTGTTAAAAATAATTCCTCAGCCTGTTAGGTATGGTTTAGCCTGGATGGGTTCCACTGTCTTTGCCAAACAGCACAACAATGGAAAAAAATTATTAAGGGAGGTAGCCCCACTTCAGTAAAGTTATTGTGAGACTGGGGTGTTAATCTGTTTTCTGTCATGCTTTGTGCCTAGAGTTTTCAAAACAGAGGAAAAAAAAAACCCAAAAGAATCAAAACAAAACTCCAGTACCTCACTGGGTTCAGCTGCATCTTCTTAACTATTTTTCTACTGTATGGGCAGTAGGATACTTAGTCCTGTCACTTGCATGTGTGTATTCTGTTTTTTTTTCTGTGGTATTTTTCCTACGACTTCAGATTTTCACAGGCATGAGAGTTTTATCGATGGTTAGTGCAATATACAGTGATAACTGTATGGAGTATGGGAAAAAAATATTTTCCTGACATTTACCATTACCACTTTGTTGGTTATTCCAATTTCAGCTCCCAAACTACAAAAACTTCAAAGGAACTATCCAGGAACTTGGTCAAAATCAGTATGTAGTGAGTGGTGAAATATTTGTGGTGGACAGGAACACAGTTGAGATTACAGAGCTTCCTGTAAGGACATGGACCCAGGTAAGGAAACGTGAAATACATTTTAATGTGAACAAAACAAACAAAAAAAAATCCTTGTTAAATTATTTAATCCTTCATCTGCATGAATTTCTAACACAATTTCTGGTTATATGTGCATGGAAGGGAATATGGTTTCATTCTTCTGCTTGCTTTTGTAGAAAATGGTTTTCTATTTGTGTCATCACCTGTCCATACTAGAAAGAAAACCTGCTTCTCCTGCTGAATTCATAGTTAATCCACTTTACAGTAGCCTTTTCTGTCCTGGTTAGATGCCTCTTATGTTTGTGCTAGTCTTGGCCTGCATTTTGCAGGTTATACTGGTTCTGTAAATTATAACTAGTATCAGATGTAATGCACAGAGCTTTGAAAGTTGGTGTTGTGCAATTGGTTTTTRGTTTTAAGGCATTTCAAGTGTTTCWGGTTTATGCTGCCCTATTTTTAACAGGTGTACAAAGAACAGGTTCTAGAACCTATGTTGAATGGGACTGAAAAAACTCCAGCATTAATTTCTGACTACAAGGAATACCACACTGATACAACTGTGAAATTTGTTGTGAAGATGACAGAAGAAAAACTTGCACAGGCAGAAGCTGCTGGATTGCACAAAGTCTTTAAGCTTCAAACAAGTCTTACTTGTAATTCTATGGTAACTTTTTCATGTTTGGCTATCAGAATCCCTACTGTTGCTTGTTGTAAACTCAAATGTTTTTTGTAGTATAGTTTGGTTCTTGTTATTGAACAGCGCCTTGTGTCTTTGAAATTGTTTAAATAGTAGAAAACTGTTATGTTGACCAATATTAAGTCAATGTGAATGAGCAAATCCATTTTAGTCCTGATGAGTCTTTCAAATAAGATAGGCCTGGGGTGGTCGCTTTCCTATAATTGAAAATTTCCTGTGCAGCTAACCAAAAGGTTAATATAAAGTAGATCATACAAATAACTTTCTGCCGTATTATGATTAGATTTGAGTTTTAAACTTGAGACAAGTTACTTTTTCAAAATTGCACTTTCTGCAGGACTATTGCTTCTCTAATAGGAGTTAAATGATCCAATGTTTCCACCAGCATAAATCCAGTTTTAGGTGGTAAAGTACAGCAAACCCTGTACTTAAGCTACTGAAGATGTAATAGTGCTGCAAATTGCTAAGAATATGAATAAATATTCTATTCCATCTGTTCTGAGGGGGATTTGAATGTAAGTTAATTTTGGCCAGAAGATTTCCAAACATCCTGTCTTTACAGATATTGGAAAAACAGGGGTTTTTTTTATGGCAGATGCTACTTTCAGATATTATCACAAAACACAAATATCATTAATGTTGCTATTGTTGTGTACATCAAAAGCTGTGTGAAAATAGGTTAACAGTAAGTTAAAGACCAAAAAATTGTAAGAGGAAACAGACCTTGCTCAACTAATTTTGTAGATTGTTCTTGAAAAGCAAATCTACCAAATCAGGATGATGGTGTTTTTCACACATTTAAGCAATTGCAGGAGCTACTGTGAGTATCTGTTGTCAGTTTTACGTTTCACAGATTACAAAATGTTTTGCAGTTGAATCCTGCTTTTCTGTCTGCTGAAATAAATCATAAGGGCTGCTTTCTGTACCTGTGTGGGAATTAATCTGCCCTAGAGTAAGCACCTTAAAAAGTTATGTGAACTGGCCATTGTCCCCCAACTCCCTAACAGATATTTTGGATGGGTGAATTACCCCCTAGAGGGGTTTATTTCTTTCAGTTGACCATGGAGGGCACCAAGGGTGACTAGTTCACCTATAAATGTCTAAACTGGAGATGTCAGAAGCCAGGCAGGATTGATTCCACCTATCAAGTAAAAATGATTTCTTACTTTTGCTTGAACTTGAAGGATGGTAGTTTTCACAGCTGAAAAGTGACAGATTTCACGGCTGAATTGAAAGATTATTAAGGATTATTAAGCTTTTCAACTGTTACATTAAATAATTGTGAATCATTAGTTGCTACTGAACTTGAGCTTTAATATGTAGATAAAATCAGTCGTTCAAGTGAATTCAGGCATATTTCTCTATATAGCTATCTTTTTGTTTGAATGTGCTACCGTAAATCTCATCCTAAATCTACTTATGAATAAAAATTGAGTCATCCAGCTCTGTGCTGTGCAGCTCCACAGTGAGGTTTGAATCCACACCCCTCAAAATGCCACTTTTTGTACAGTGCATTTGTATGTGCAGTAGAAACAAACACTCACACAAAGACTAACAAAGTTTGAGTTCTGCAGCCTCTCTCAAAGTATTCAATGTATTTTATAGGTGCTGTTTGATCACATGGGGTGCTTAAAGAAGTATGAAACCGTGCAGGACATCCTGAAGGAGTTCTTTGATCTGCGGTTGCATTACTACAGCCTGCGCAAGGAGTGGCTCGTGGGAATGCTGGGTGCAGAGTCCACCAAGCTCAACAACCAGGCTCGCTTCATCCTGGAGAAGATACAAGGAAAAATTACCATTGGTGAGTAAATACAAGTTAGAATTGCTAACAGTCTGTAAATTATTCAAGTATGGTAGACAATACTTGCATGCAAGGAATTTATTCTCATTACATTGATTTTCCTTCTTTTTTTTTTCCCCTGCTCTGTGTTTTCATGTGTCTTGTAGAGAACAGATCAAAAAGAGATTTGATTCAGATGTTGGTCCAGAGAGGTTATGAATCTGATCCAGTAAAAGCCTGGAAAGAAGCACAGGAAAAGGTAATAATCTAGATATAGTTGGTGTTGTTACAGTTATCAATGACACTACTTATTTTCTGATAGTCTAAATTTATAACACACACAGCACTTTAAAAACATTATTCATTACTTCTTATTGGCTTCCATAAAAAAAAAATAAACTTACACAAAAATATAGTCACATAATATTGGTATTGTATGTGGATAATTTTAGAAGAAAACTAGACAATACAAGTCTGAAAAATGAGATTGCAGGGGACTGGATTTCATAATGTACCCAAATAAAAACTGGCAACTTGATTTCTGATTGGCTGATACAGGAAATGCTGCATCAGTTACCCCAGACATACAACTAATTACTAAATGTAATTATTTCTATATAATTTACTGTTTTTTCTGTAAAGAAACATGGATATTATACAGCTATGACTTTTAAATTAATTTTTGGAAATTTGACCTTGACCTTGACCTATATTTATTTCTGCATTTTTTAAAACTGAGCAGTTTTTATTGTTCCGAAAAAGAGATGTGACAAGTTTAACTTCAAAATTACATCCCCATTACTATGGGAAGATGGAACTGTGTTGAAAAGCAGCTTCAGATTTCAGTCAGCCATCCCTTTTCTGTGTCTATGTCCTTGCTTTAGATATTTGTTTTCTTTTCACATGTTTTGTATTTTCAATACTGTATTTTAACTCTATGCAATGAGTTGTATTTTATAACAAGGCTATTATTATGAGAAATTTTGATTTATTTCCAAACCTCAGTTTGTATGATTGGGGCTTTGATGCCAGCTCTTACCAAAGGACTGTGCTCATTTTCTAAAGGAGCAGGAATGAATGTCCAAAGGGCAAAGGTCCCAGCCCTGTGACACAGGTGGGACAGCATCAATATCTGCAGCCAGCAGCACATGGGGCATGTGGCTCTAGCACCAGGGTCCATTTGTTTTCTTACATCAAAATGATTAAATAATCCAGCTGTAGAAGGTCACAGGAACACGGCCTTTTGGAAAGGTCCAAAAATGCTCAGGTTATTGAATCTGTGAGGGCACATCTTACTGCTCTGTGATGGTGCTGTGGAGCAGAGTTACAGTGCACAGAGCACTGTAACTTTTAATTAAAGATCACTGACACTTTTCCTTGTGAATGTTTCGCCTCAGGCGGCAGAAGAGGAGGACTCACAGAATGCAAATGACGACGCTTCCTCTGCTTCTGGGGCAACCTCTGGCCCTGACTTCAACTACATCTTAAACATGTCCCTGTGGTCACTGACAAAAGAGAAAGTGGAAGAGTTGATTAAGCAGAGAGATTCCAAGGTTGGTCACCATGGAAGGCTTGTTCTGAAATGATACAGTAATGGATGCTGTGCCTAATGGGAATGCTCAGTTTTCAATGGCATTTGCTGTACTTGTAACTCACATTCTCTATGCCAATTTGATGTTCTAGGAGAGAGAACTAAATGACCTTAAAAGGAAATCTCCTTCAGATCTCTGGAAAGAAGATCTAGCGGCCTTTGTTGAAGAGCTTGAAGTATGTTTTACTTTACATATGTTTCTAAAACAATGAAATTCAATGGAAATCAAAAAATGAAATCCAATTTAATGAAATTAATTTCACTAAAAGAACTAACTAATAAAATTATTAAAATTTAAGAAAAATAATTTTAAAATGCTACATTTGAATCAAAATAATTTCGAAATACAATGGTAACTGCGAAAGCAATATTGGATATTTGTGTTCCTGGTAGTGTTTCGCAGGGGTTGTCTCTTGCATCTATCCAGTTTAATGTTTTTTTCCAAGACAGTGATGTTAAAAGAAAAATCACCAGGAGAGAGTTTGTTCTCAAGTGACAAAAACCTGGGAGTAGTAACTGGTAATGGTAATAATTAGTGTGTAGATCATAAATACTGTATGAGGGGACCTTAGTTTGTCTCATCAGTAATTTTGAAAAAAGATAAAGTGCTATTGGTGAAGAACATGCTGAACCTCAGTTTTCCATGTTGTCTGAAAAGGGCTGGTGCAATCTTTTGAAGTGACACACTTCAAATGCTAAAATAATGGAGGTTTACAACAGTACCAGACCTATTTTTGCAAAGTAGAAACTTGATAGGAGAAAAATTTTTCAGTCTAACAGTGTTCAAAAGCTTGTGTTTATTTATCCTTGAATAGAAGTGTCATTCTTAACTCTACCAGGTAATGAATTTACCAAGATTAAGTGGTCAGTGTTCCAGAACTGAAAAGTGTGTTCCAATTCAAGTGAGAACTAAAAGGGGAGCCTTACACTCTATGTAAAAAAAAGGGCTGAATCTTAAATAATCATCACTTTGTCCTCATTAAAAAATAATGTGTTTCCCCCTCCTGCCTCCCCTTGTTTGTTAGAAAGTAGAAGCACAGGAGAGGGAAGATGTTCTGGCTGGCATGGTTGGCAAACCAATAAAAGGCAAAGTTGGTAAACCCAAGATGAAGAAACTCCAGCTGGAAGAGACCATGCCATCACCATTTGGCAGAAGAATAGTCCCACAGATTACATCTGCCATGAAAGCTGATGCCAGCAGGAAACTGCTGAAAAAGAAAAAGGTAAACCAAAATGACTGCTACAGTTAAATTATTTATTATTTAGCTGGGGTATTTTAATGCTCCTGTAGCATAAATCCAAATCACCAGATCATCATGGGTGCTGTATTTGTGCTGTTTTGCTGACCTAATGCATAGAAATTTGGACCGGATTTCTTTCACATTTGCAAGCCTCTTGTGGCTGCTTATTGTTCAGGTGTTTTTATTGAGATAATTCTTTCCAAGACTATTCAACAAATGTCAGTATATTAGTCTACATTCGTTAATTACTGTCTACAAAACTATTGGGGTTCAATCATGAGATGCAAAGGTGTAATTTATTTTATTTTGTAATTTTAGGGTGAAACTGATTCTCTAGCAATAAAAATGGAATTTGATGAAGAGTTTGGTGGTGTGCCAGCTGAGGGTGGTGGGGATGACTCGCTGAATGCATCAGCTGCAGCAGCTAAAACCCCTAAACCTAAGAGAGAGAAGAAGGAGCCTGGTAAGATCCTTGCATAGCCATAATTAACCTTAGTTGTGTACACTTATTGAGCATAAAATGCATTTTAAATACAGAGTGAGAAGGGAAATACAGCGCAATAATCACTATTTCATCTGTTTTTCTTCCCTAAAATGAGGTGTGGAAGTATTTGAAAACACTCTGCTGAAATTTCTTTGTGTAAGA